GCATTCTCAAAAAAAATCAGAATGACCAATTCACAATGATGTATATAACACATATGTGGATGGCCGGCCACCATCTAAGAAATAGCAACCTTTCCATAGGGTGCCTTTGGGGAGTGCAGAGAAATGGATCTATGTTCTCACCCACATGGTGAGTCCTTAAAGTATCAAAGGTTCTCAGTCCGGAACATTCTACTCAACAGGGCCTCACATTTTTCATTTATGACTTAATATAGAATAAAAGATCAGCATCTCAAAAGTTGAAATTTCTTATGAGGAGATCTGATTTCTCTGAACCATTGTTCTGTGTTACAGAAATTCAACTATAACTTTGGACCTCTTGCTAGTAAAAATAGCTTGCGATCTTTTAATTAGCTAATCAAAAATGTTTCTTATTTTTCTGATGCTTCCCATATTTGACTTTATCTGCTATTTCATCACACAACTGATAAGAACAGCATCCAAACCAGCGATTTGAATTATTTTCATTTTCTACATTACTTTTAATTTCACAATCCCTCCATAATTCCATTCCTACTTTTGTTCTCTTCTCTCCCTCTTTCCAAAGAGACTACTTGAAAGCTAGGATCGGAGATAAATCTTTTCTTTTACTTTGACTAACACTTGCTTGATGTGGATTATATTGTGTTCCACTAGCAAATCCTGATATTTCAGGAAACTGTTGTTTTATATGCCTACTTTTATGAACCAAATTATAGTGTTAAATCATTTACAGAGAACCATTTCTGAATTAGACTGTTTTATATGGCAGAAGAGTTACTTCTGTGTGTCTTCAGAAAATTTGGTTCCCAAAAGGATCAAGACGCATCTTGGGCTGGTCATTGGAGACGAGTCATCTGTCTTGGGGCTTCCTCTCACCATAACACACTGAAAACTTGGGGAGAACCTGATGCCAAATTAATTTTTCATACCAAACCCACCTATATTGCAATTCTGATGTGCATAATGGGATTCATAATTCACTTCAGCACTTCTTCAATTCATGCATTAATTGTTGCCTCTAATCCCTTAAACAAACCTCTGAGAACTTTAGCAATTTTGGAGCATTCTATCCTTCAGTCCTCCGAGAGCAAAGGAAACGAACAAAGAAAAAAAAGCTATGGAGTCTCATTTCCAGAATTACAAGCCCAACAGGCATTTACTGTGCATTAACTTTGCTACACATGGTGGCACTCTGGGAGGCACTTTGTATCCTGGTTCTGTCCTATTAAACTGGTGGTCAAATTTCCTAAGAAAGTTCTAACTTAACAGAAATTTGCTTTACTATAGACCCACTGCAAGCTATTAAACAAGTTACCTATACTTTAAATTTATATTTTAATTATTTACAATTTTCTTTGTTTTCAAAATTCAATTTTAATAGTTTGAATCATTAAAAAATCTTCAACAGAGTGGATATTTATAAGCATGGCAATATTTCGTACTAAATAACTGTAGATAATTTGATTCAGTTCATTTTTAATATCAGAAAATTGGGAGATAATTTTAAGAAATGTGAAATAAATATACCACTTAGTGTTATATTAATTTATTCCACAGCTACATAACTAAAATCGAAAATGAAAGGCAAAAGTATTTGTTCATGATCTCTTCAAAAACTTTTTAAAACATCAGATATCTTTTAGCAACTTAAAAATGTTGAGTCTCCTTCCTTAAAAAATAAAATAATTTCTATTTTTTATCTTAAAGAAGATGTACATCCTCCAGTATATGAGCAATTTCAAAAATCATATAAGCCTTTAGAAACTGAAAAATTATAAGACAAGTAATTTTTGAAGTTAAAATAAAGAAATAATACTAAGAGGGCGCCTGGGTGGCTCAGTCGTTAAGCGTCTGCCTTCGGCTCAGGTCATGATCCCAGGGTCCTGGGATCGAGTCCCACATCGGGCTCCCTCCTCGGGGGGAAGCCTGCTTCTCCCTCTCCCACTCCCGCTGCTTGTGTTCCTGCTCTCGCTATCTCTGTCTCTGTCAAATAAATAAATAAAATCTTTAAAAAAAAAAAAGAAAGAATACTAAGATATTACTATGACAAAAGAATATAATTGCAAAGTTATAATCTGAGTTATTTGCATAATGATCAATGAAGCAATAAATTTTCTACACATATGTATTAGGTTCAAAAAAGTGGTTTAAAGAAAATGATTTCTTTTTTAATTAAGCCTTTTAGTTATAATCTCTGAAGCATTCTATTGAGACACATTCAGTACTGAGATGAACACAATGCTTATAATAATTATTAAATGACAACTTCTGGAGAGCTAATCCTTTTTAATACTGCCTATTTGAATAATTTTATTGTTTTTTATATAACAGACTCTACCAGTGAGACCTGCTGAATAATGAACATACGGACTGCCTGTGCTTCATTTACATGCCAACTGTCATGCTCACTGGAACTAAGGCAAGTGTCATCTCTTCATTCCTCCTGATCCTTGCCATTTCTGAAGCTGACTTGGTGACCATTCCAGATCACCAATGCACATGCATAACCCCCAACCTGACCCACCTTCTTCTTAGTTACCCCAGTGCCAGTCCAGGGCAATGCCTGCTTTCAGGAAATAAAAGAGGGGAGGGCTGTTTCATCATTCATCAACATGCCCCAGAACTTCTTGCTCCTCCCAAATCTACCTTGCCCCTCAACACGATATCTTAGTTCTTCATCTAGAGACAGAGCTTTGGGTTTACATCCAAAATGGTAATGGGTCTTTACTAAAGTAAAGCTGTTATTTACGTACAAGGAATCAGAAACAACATTTTATTGAGACTGCTTGAGGGGCGCGTGGGTGGCTCAGTTGGTTAAGCGACTGCCTTCGGCTCAGGTCATGATCCTGGAGTCCCGGGATCAAGTCCCGTATCGGGCTCCCTGCTCAGCAGGGAGTCTGCTTCTCCCTCTGACCCCCCCCCCCATGCTCTCTCTATCTCATTCTCTCTCTCAAATAAATAAATAAAATCTAAAAAAAAAAAAGACTGCTTGAAAATGTAACTTCCCTTCATTTATGTTTATACTCCTAGTTTGTTTCACAGGATGGCTTATAGTAAGACTTTCAAAAAGACCAAGAAGGGTGTTACTTCATTTTGGGACCAAAGTTTAAAGATGAGTTTGAGGGATGCCTGGGTGGCTCAGTAGGTTAAGGGTCTGCCTTCGGCTCAGGTCATGATCCCAGGGTCCTGGGATCGAGTCCCGCATTGGGCTCCTTGCTCCGCGGGGAGCCTGCTTCTTTTGCCTGTCGCTCCCCCTGCTTGTGCTCTCTCTGACAAATAAATAAATAAAATCTTAAAAAAAAAAAAAAGGAGTTTGAGCTGATGCCCTGTTCTTTGGGACTAGGGAGGAAAGAAAAATAAATACCATGATCTTGATGAGAAGCAAACAGTGATGGTAGTGAAGAGAAAAAAACAAAAAACAAAACAGGAAGGATATTTTAATAAAGCCAGCCTCACTATCCATAACAAAGGTACATGGGAACATACGAACCTCACTCACAACCTCTCTTATCTTGGCCATATCAGCCCCAATATCATACACTATTTGCCAAGCAATGGAAATGCCAACCTGCTTCAGTGAGAAAGACGGGAAACTGAGTTTAAAATAAAGTTTTTTGACCCATTTCCAGGGCACAACAAATTTGAAACCCTAGGGCGCCTGGGTGGCTCAGTTGGTTAAGCAACTGCCTTCGGCTCAGGTCATGATCCTGGAGTCCCGGGATCGAGTCCCACATCGGGCTCCCTGCTCAGCAGGGAGTCTGCTTCTCCCTCTGACCCTCCCGACCCTCCCCCCTCTTGTGCTCTCTCTCTCTCTCAAATAAATAAATAAAATCTTAAAAAAAAAATTTGAAACCCTAAATGCAACTTCTTATAGGAGCATTATTTATGGTTATGAACTGCTGAAATATTCTAGAACTAGATAGCCATATACATACATATATATATATATGACCTAAGCCAATTCACCCTTGGAGTACTGACCTTCATTATAGATATTGGACTGTTAACAAGACTGACTTTGGTTTCTTACATTGCATAGCAAGCAATCTATCTATATCTATCTATCTATCTATCTATCTATCTATCTATCTATCTATCTAATCTATCTACCTATCATCTATCTATCCATCTATCCATCTATCTCTCTCTCTCTCTCTCTATATATAATTTTCATTGAGTTAGCCTAGAGATTGAACCAACATGGACTTGTAAATAAAAATTAGAAACAAAACTTCTTTTTAAAAGTTTGCAAATGCCATAATCATGTTTCAGTTTTATTAAATATTTTTAAAATGAAAATAAAATATATACTTTACTGGAGAATATCAGTAGCACAGATGATTTAAGAAGAAAAAAAGTTTTCTAAATATATTTTGCCAGAAAAAATATTGTCTCAAATTCCATCTTCCTCCTCCAAAAGATTCCCTTAGCCAAAATCATGAAAGAATGGCATCATATATGGTATTGGGAAAAGGATTTCAAATCTATGATAAACCAGAAGTAAATAATTTAACTCTAAATATCTGAGAGTTGTCTGCAGAAACTACCACTCATTTTGGTGTCTGAAATTCAATTGTGTCACTCCCAGTGGAAACCCTTGCTATGTAATGTAAGAAACCAAAGTCAGTCTTGTTAACAGTCCATTTTCTATAATGAAGGTCAGTAGTCCAGGGGTGGATTGGCTTAGGTCATTAAATCTAACCTCAGTAAATAGTAATCAGTAAGAGTGAAAGAAAGAATATGTCACAAAGAGAAAAAGAACATACTGAGGCATGGTTTATTCTGCAAAACACGAGGGAAAAGAGCAACATGGAAAAACAACTCTTGTCTGTGCTACCTACGTAATTTTAATTTTTTAATTAGCATCTTTCTCCTCTACCCATGTTTTAAATTACTGATCCCAGAGTATTATAAACATCACAGAGCTGATGATCCAGAGATGCTCTATCACCAGGAAGTCTTGTTTTTAAGGAAAACATGCACATAGTCTATATACTTACTGGAGATGTTGATACTTGGGTTATTCTTAACTGGCTTTCCAAATCTTGTACTTTGTTTTTAAGTTCCATATTTTCGGTTTCTAAGTCTTGAATCTAAAAAGCAATGATTATTGAATAACCTTCAGAAATTTATTCTTGGAAAATATTGGCCATCATATTGGCTACATTAATGAATAGGATTTTATATTATTTAAAATTTTAATGTACTCTTGTGCACAGGGGAGAAAATTATTTGATAAAGGTTGGGGATTATCAGGAAATTCTAGATCATTGGAAAGACCTTTTATTAGATTTAAAATATGTTTTTACACGTGTGCAAATTCCATGTTTCTAATACCTCATCTCTGTGTTTTCTGGTTGCACTGTACAGTCTGTTACCCATAATCTTGGAGTATAACCGCAAGACAGTGAAACTTGCTTATGATGACTTTGAAGACAGTGGAGAAAGGGTGTAATTTAATTACAAAGGAATCTGATCTGCATGGGAAACCACTTACCCAGCATCTGCTGCTTCTGCTGCTCTGATCCCCATGAGAAGCATCAGGAAGTGAAGCAAAGTCACATGAGAACACTAAGTTCTTGTGGGAATTCAATATAAAATGGTTAAAAACTGTGCAGGGGATCAGGAATGAAAAATTATAGGAACACAGTGAAAGCAGTTCCAATCAGTGTGGGGGAAATTTAATGGCAGGCCTTCTAAATTTGTTTGAGGATATGCAAGTTTCCCTGTACTTACATCACATAAACGTGAAACAAAAAGTTTAGTTTACTCACTCTTTTCTGTAATCCTGCAATCTGTTTCCTTGTTTCAACATCTTTTCCTCCAGATTCTAGAAATTTCCTGTATGCCAGGTCAAATGCTTGGCCAATTGTTAAAGTTATTTCTTCAGCCTTTGTAAAAACCAAAGATTTGATATGTCAGACTGTTCTTTGAATCAAGAACATTCACATGAGGTACTTCAAAGGGGAAATGGCTGCAGGTAGAGATGTGGTCAATGAATCAAGTCGTCTATGCTAACATAATAATTCAATGCCTATCCATGCACAAAATTAAAAAAACAAAAGCTTTGGTAATTAAATGAGTAGCTATTGAAGTTGGAAGCAAGAGTTCTATCCACCTTCTCATCTATTTCATCATAGCATTTTTTCCTAGTTTGTTTTCCTTCTTTCCTCAAATATTTGGGGCCTATTAAATGAAAGCACATTGCCAAGTGCAGTTCTCTTGTTGCTTTACTACTTATTTCCTCTTCCTAATGAGGAGGGCTGGTTAAACCGGGCAGGTAACTTGAATGAGGCTGACTGGGTGGTGTGGAAAACTTGAGCTATGCCCTCTCAAAGTGGAATAATCAGTTCCAGTTAATTGTTGGCTTGTGGAAATGAACAATTCCAACCCAGAGTTGTCAGATTTTAAATATGGGAGATGAGGTCAGAAATCTGAATTTTTATATGAAAACTCCCAATTGTAAGTGATAGTAAACCATATTACTATAAAATACAGTGCCTATTGAACAAAATATATCTGTTATCTGAATTTGGCCTCAAAAACAATGCCACAAATGTCCTAAGTCTACCAGTTCATTCCTTCCTCATTCATATCTTGACTGGGATCAGTGTCTTGCACAATGTAAACACTAAGTAAAAATTTATTTTATTAACATTTTATTAAAAAGATTAGTAAAGGCATTAATTGATTTAATCCATCAGAAATATGTCATATTTATTATAAGATTTCCAGATGACATAAAAACTGGTGGTAATATTAAATCTTGAAAATGCCATGCTTTAATTTACTGCAAATCCTAAAGCTTTGTGATATGCTATGAAAAATCTAAATTGCAAATATGCTTTATTAATAACACAGATTTTTTTTTAATGTTTCAAGCTTTTATTTAAATTCTAGTTAATTAACATAGAGTGTAATATTGGTTTCAGGAATGGAATTTAGTGATTCATCACTTACATACAACACCCAGTGCTCATCACAAGTGCCCTCCTTAATACCCATCACCCATCTAGCTCAACCCCCGCCTACCTCCCCTCCAGCAACCAATCTAGTTAAGAGTCTCTTTTATGAATAACACAGATTTAATTAAGACATTGTCATTTTTGTAGTTCACTATTTGTTTAAAAAAGGCTTTTAGTATAAAAAAATTAGTTTAACCCAGTTAACTAAAAAATACAAAATATATTCCTAAAATTATAAATAAGTACTATCTGTCTCACAAAAAAGGGGAAAAAAGAAGCTACATTAAGGAATATTACAGAAATGAAAATGCCAGATACCAAACTATGTGTGCTCAATGATTCCAACTAATGAAAAAGTACACATATAAAAAAATTAGTTGTATTGGTTGTTGTGATCACATATAATATTAAAACATAGTAAATGTGGTTATAATAGATTGTGGGACTATCATTTTTTAAATCTCTAACTTCAAAACTTAAGGTAATGTGTTAGTATTTGTTTTACAATAATCAAGACATATTTGTAAATTATGGTTGTTTTTTCTACCTTCTTTTTTATGGGTTCAGTGTGTCCTCCTCCTAAGACAGTATGTTACCCTAAAATACTCAAGGTGTACATTACAGAGAATTGTTTCAATGGTAGCAAGTTTATCATTAATAACGTTTGACTTCATTATAATTGTTTACAGTAATAACTTTTAAAAATCATATTCTTTATGATAAGACATATCTTTCATGATTAAGACATCTTTTTATTAAAACAGCATTTAACTCCCCAGAAAATATTTTGCATACATTACCTCACTTGATTCTCATAATTAATCTATGAGAATAATTCCACAATACAAATGCAGCTTCAACTCTGTGAGATCTCCATTTGTGAGTGGAGAAACTGGATTCAAATCCAAAATATCTGACTCTACAAGCCCTCACACATTTTTATAAACAATAAAACATACAGATTATATTTGCACAATCAGATGTGCTTTGATAAAGGTATATACCTATATAAGCACCATTGTCATTAAAGATATAGGATATTTCTATCATCCTAGAAAGTTCTCCCATGCCTACTTACAGTCAAATCACATATCTTATGGTTAACCATTGCTAGAATTCCATCACCATAAATCAGTTTTGTCCGTCCTTGTATCCATAAAAATGAACCATATAGTATATATATATTCTTTTCTGTCTGGCTTCTTTTGGAGTTTCTCAGATGTTGTATGTATCATTTGTTTTATTGCTGATTAGTGTCCCATCTAATGAATATACCAGATTGATTTATCTATTTGCCTATTAAGGAACACTTGCATTGTTTTCAATTCTTGGTTATAAATAAAACTGTTACATTCTTCTAAAATCTTTTTGTGGACATCTGTTTTCAAAAATCTGGATAAATATCTTCAATGGAAATGCTAAATCAGAGAATAGCTCTATTTTAACATTACAAGAAACTGCCAAACTGTTTTGCAAAATAATTGTCCCCTTTTACATTCCCACCAGCAGTAAGAGAGTTCTAGTTGCTCTTCATTCTCACCAATATCATATATTGACAGTCTTTTTAACTGGTCACCCTAACTGAATGAGTGATGCTATCTCAATGTGTTTTTAACTTGAATTTCCCTGTTGAATAATTACATTAGCTCAGTTCCATGAATGACTAAGATGAATTCCCCCCATCCAATCATTTAATGAAATATAAAGAGCAAGAATATTTGTTAAATTCAAAAAAATTTATTTCAAAAAATTACTATAAAGCAAACATGAAATACAACAAGAATATATAATAAAGAGCTTACAAATAAAGCTTGTGAAAAGACTGGGTGTAATGATTCCTTCTAGTAATAATAATTTATGATTCTTTTGACACATGAATCCTTTTTTACAATTAGTTAACAAGTAAGAGAGAGGTTTTAAACTTTGCCTTATCTATATCTCACTTCACATAAATAAAGGAAAATACACGGGTGGGGTGAAGCTTTCATCGCTTATTGGGGCTACTATTTAAATTTTATCAAGTGTAGAGGCTCCTGGGTGGTGCAGTCAGTTAAGCAGCAGACCCTTTATTTTGGCTTGGGTCATGATCTCAGGGTCATGAGATCAAGCCCTGCATCAGGCTCCGTGCTCGGCACAGAGTCCGCTTGAGAATCTCTCTCCCTCTGCCCTTCCCCACTTGTGCTCACACACTCTCTCTCTCTCAAATAAATAAATCTTAAAAATATATATATATCAAGTGTAACATCCAGTGAATAAAGTATATTATATTAACATTTGGAAAAAAAAATTGAAAAAATGATGGCTAAGGAGTTGATAGTGATTGTATATTCACCTTATATTAAATAAACGAGATCAGTCACATCATAATGAGTATCTATATTCTAATTTTATTTTTTAAACTTAATGAGATGACTACAATAGTTGTATAAATATTAAATCTTAATAACACATGATACTAATAAAGTGAGTTCTAATTTTGTAGCATTCTAGGGCAGGGTTTCATCTAAATTTCAAACAAGCTCTTAGAAATTCACAGAAGTACTGAATATATAAAATACAAGGAATAAAGAGAATGAAGTAAGAGCAGAGGGACTCTGGAGAGGTCACAGTCATGGGAGTAATATAACATGGAAGATGGAAGAATGTGGAATGGGAATCTAGGGTCTCACACTGGACTTCTGATTCTATTGCTACCTAGCTTTCTGACTCTGAGAAAGGCACTAAATCTCTCTGGCCTAGATTTACTTAAAATAAGATGAAAACAAAATATAGCCATAGTTTTATTTTCCAGGTATTTTTTAGACTGATATGCAGTTATAAGAAATAATACAGAGAGATCATGGGTACCCTTCATCCACTTCCCCCAATGGTAATATATTACAAAAACTATTGTACAAACCACACCAACTAATACTGATATTAATATAATCAAGATACAGAATAATTCCATTACCACAAAACTGCCTCATCTTGCTGTTTTATAGCCACATACTCTTCATCTCCCCTTACCACGTCCTTAACTCCTGAAAAACACTAATCTGTTCTCCATTTCTTTAATCTTGTCATTTCAAGATTATAAAAACGGACTCATACAGTATGTAAGCTTTTGGGATTGACTTTTTTCATTCCATAATTATCTGGAGGGTTACCAAGGTTGTTTCATGTATTAATAGTTCATTCTTTTTTCTTTCTAAGTAGTATTCCATGTTTTGGATATACCAGAATCTGTTTAACCATTCACCCATTATCTGAGATATTTGTAGTTTGGGGTTATTATGAATAAGCTGCTATAAACATTCTATGTAGGTTTTTGTATGAACAGAAGTTTTTATTTCTCTGGGATAAATGCCCAAATGAGTCATATGATAATTGCATGTTTAGTGTTTTATGAAACTGCCAAATGGTTTACCCCAGTGTTTGTACCATTTTATATCCCAATAGCTTTGTACAAGTGAACCACTTTTCCATATCCTTGCCAGCATCTGGTATTGCCACTTTTTAAAATTTATTTTTTATTTATTTATTTTAAAGATTTTTATTTATTTAGTTGAGACAGAGAGAGCACAAGGGCAGGGGAAGAGCTGAGGGAGAAGCAGACTCCCTGCTGAGCAGGGTGCCCAATGCGGGGCTTGATCCCAAGACCCTGAGATCATGACCTGAGCCTAAGGCAGACGCTTAACCGACTGAGCCACCCAGGCGCCTCTATTGCCACCTTTTTTTATTGTAGTTTTTCTGAGAGTTGTACAGTGATACCTCATTTTAATTTGCATTTCCCTAATGGACACCAATGTTAATATCTTTTCATGTGCTATTTGCCATCTGACTATCCTCTTCCGTGAAATGATCCTTTGTATCTTTTGCCCACTTTCCAATTTGATATTTTATGCTGTTGAGTTTTCAAAGTTCTTTGGCATGTTTGCAAATAT